TGATCATCATGCAATTACTGAAACCATTGCCTCCTCTTTATCTAATGGATGTGCCTTAACAGAAAAAAAATCTATTACACCAAATGATAACCTTTTTGAGCTATTAATTTCCATGCTTAGTATGTTATCTCGTTTTGGTGATACTGAACTTCCATGTAATTTACATCAGAAACTTACTGAGCTTTTCTCCTTAGCCCGTAACATACGCAGTACCACCAATTTTTCAACTGAATTGTCGGAGCATTATAAATAAAAAATGAACTCATTTACCCCAATAAATTCATCCCTTCATAGTTTTGCCGTCCAGGATATGTGGCTTTGGCCTAAGTTTCATTTTAGGGTTTTAGGATACACATGCGTCGATGGTGATAGGTGTGACGGTCGTGCTGGTACCTCTATTTTATTCAAAACAGTTACATTTCCACTATTTTCTCTCCCTTCTACTAGTCTAGCAACTTCTTAACAGAACTGGCAAGGTTATTTCTTCTCTGTCACCTCCTACGGTTATTTTAGGATCTTTGTGATTCACTGGCTTCCGTATTTTTAGATCTTATTGATAATTTTAATCTCCGTATTCTAAATGACGGGTCTTCTACTCGTAGAGTATCTCATTACAAAATGTTAGAAGTGCCGTTGACCTAACTTTCTGTTCCCCAAATATTGCTTCCCTTCTTTTGTGGCAAATATTATCTTCTAACCATTGCAGTGACCATTTGCCTATATTCATCACTCCTCCTACTTCCCCTACAATAAATTTTACATTTTGCCCGAGACTAAAGTATAATCTATCTAAAGCTATTTTTAATAGGTTAGGTGACGAACGAGCACACACTCCACCTGATGGTACGTAGTTGCTGTGGCCCATAGACATCTAGATCTATCGTCGATTACAAATCAAAATGCAGATGCGTTGTCACCCGTGAGGACTAAGATGGAATACTTCTTTTCTAGTAAAAAGGGTCTCCGGTTCTCTACACTCACTATACGAAACACAGCAGCATTAAGCTACTATTTCCCGGTCGGGCCGACCCATTCGTGCTACAACTATACTACTAATATATAATTAAATTAAACTAATAATATAATTGCCAATTATAATACATATATAATTGCATATATATATATATATATATATATATATATATATATAAAATTAGAAAAAGAGGTTTCAACTCTTCCCCCGAATTAACAAAGATAATACTGTTCGTGTATATATAGAGTTCAGAAATGCAATTCTTTCTGCTGCTAATAAATCAATCCCCTTAAAATAACCATTCAAATTATCCTTCCCCTCCTTGGTGGGACCAAGATTGATCAGCAGCTTGTAGGAGAAGAAAAAAGGCTGAATTAATATACGCCCGTTCTATGACTGCAGAGAAGTATATCTCTTATAAAAAATTACTGCAGAAACCTTATAATTAGAGTCAGACAAAAAGAGAACTGGTTGGTTTAAATTTTATGAGTCACTGTAGACCCTCCCATCTTTGGTCTGAAGAAATGTTAAAAAATATTGCGATATTATATATGTATGATATTAGTACAGTTTTCAGTGAAAATATAATTTCTAATGATCCTTCCCCATGACTAGATGAATTCTCTAATAAACTTGCACCATAAAAAGTCACATCTTATGATGAGGCATTCATCAGTTCTTGACTCTGCTTCTTCACGAACACATGATAAGGTTTATTCCCACTTTTCTTCTCAGCAATTATTTACTGTACTCAATGGTCTTAGACTCCTAGCCAGGTATTAATGAAATTCCTTATTCATTTATAATTAATAGTAGTGAGAACACTAAAACTGTCTTACTATCCATTTTAAATTCTATTTATATTACTGGTGCTCCTCTTGCTTAATGGAAAACCCAAATTATTTTGCCTATTCTCAAACCGGTAAGTCTAGCAATGATCCTTCCAGTTATCGAACTATTGCCCTTTCATGTACTTTGGCAAAAATCTTGGAATATCTAATAAAAAATCGCTTGGAATGGTTTTTGGAAAGGAATAATGTTTTACCTAAAAACAAATTCGGTTTCCGAAAAGTCTTAAGTACCATGGATAACATTAGTACTTTGGTCACAGATATTCGTATTGCGTTTTCAAGACATGAATTTCTCATAAGAGTTTTCTTGGATATATCGTCTGCATATGATATTGTGTTTCTTCCTGTGCTCAGGCAGAAAATACTTAATATAAGCATTCCAGTGAGGATAGTCAAATATGTCTCTAACTTTCTCTCTTCTAAAAACTATGTGGAAAAGACTTCCACACAAGGCTCAGTGCTTAGTCATTTCCTTTATTCTATATATACACATTTAGATTAGAGTGTAGACAGTTTCTATAAAAAAAAAATAGAACTTTTATTAAATTCTTTTTCTAATTTCCTTTAATATACAGATTATTTAACTCATACATCTCTTTAGACAACTTCACAGTGGCAAGTTCCCGTCTAAACTCATCCTTGAATTATTTACAAAAATGGATAACTAATTATTCCTGTCCTTATTATCTGTGGCCTAAAGCAGTGTGGTGAACTTTTCCCGTCAAAGGCGAGTTCCCAATATATCTGTTGTATATGATAATCAACCTATTTCAGTTAGAGGTAATGTAAAATTTTTGGAAGTTATCCTCGTTAATTCGAAATTGTTTTTCGGTTATCACATTTAATATATAACACAAAAATTCGAAAAAACTATAAATATTCTTCGGTCCTTGTCTGGTGTTTGGTAGGGATCCCATCTTTCCTCTCAGCAATTAATTTAGTGCTTTAGTGTAAAGCCACATGACTATGGATGTTGTCTCTTGGAGCCTTGCTACAAATCATCCCTGAGAGTAATGGAATTGTTTATCAACCTGATATTCATCTAGATCTAGGTATAGAAAAGGATTCTCCAACGGCAAATTTAAAATTAAAAGAAATTATACAAAAAACCTTTAAAGATAAATTTGTCAAGTATATAGACGTACTACGTAGAATATTCTGATGAAGACTATACTGGAGCTGCTGTTTGGATTCAAGTTCAAAATCATCCTTAACTTTAAATGCCCCTCACTTTCCTCCACTTTTACCGGTGAAGCAACTGCAATCAGTGAAGCTTTGTTATATCTCGAGTCACATAATCTTATTAAAACAGTTATTTTCACAAATTCAAAAAGTTGCTTGTTAGTTACTTTGTCCAATGAATTCGATATCAAACATAAATTTCCACATATTCTCAAAATATAAAATACCCTATAGAGGTGCTATTTTAAAGGATTCCATGTTTCAGTAGCCTGGATCCATAGCCACAGTGGTATCTATGGAAACGAAACAACTGATGTACTAGCTAAAACTGCAATCGCTAATGGCATTCTACAAAATTTAATTTGCTCACACGACCTAATTTTGTAGCTAAAAGGAAACTGAATTAAAATTGGAATAAATTGTGGGAAGTATCCAAAAATGTTAAGGGTAAGCACTATGCTGCCATCCAAGAGGTTATTCCTCCCGAGCCTTGGGGAGACAATCATTTTTGGGCCCACTAGAAATTTTAGCGACCCGCAATAGTATCATATACAAAAAAGATACTAATTTATTATTATATACAGTCTAACCTGGAAAAGCGAGAGTTCAAGGGAGCACAATCTCATTCTCGCTTATAGAGGTTTCTTACTAACCCGAAACTCACTAATGCAGGTACATGGGTAGCGTTTCTGTCTTAAGAGATACGCAGCAATAACAAGTCACAGCAAGTACGAATGTAGTAAATATGTAACATGATAAAATTTGGTGAATAATACGCACAACATATATTATGTACATATTTACATATATATTATGTAGATATTTTCAATACTGTGTATATGTTACGTTCATTAGATTTCGACATATAAGCACTTTATAAGGGTATCTTTTGATAATTTTATAATAGGTGGATTCTGGTAAATTAAACTCCCTCTGAATTTCATTTCGCGATTTTCCGGATTCAAACGCATTCACTATTTTATGTTTATCACTTAATGACAGTACCTTAATTTTCCGTTTTGACATGATGCAGAACAAAACTTTTCTTCGCAACTGATTAACTATAAACCGACAAACAGGACGGTAGACAGGCACACCTGTCCATTCGAAAAGAATGCGATAAAATAACAACGTTATTTAGTTCCACGAAATAGAATAGGTACAATATTGATGAGAAAACAATACAAAAACAATGGTAGGAGTTTCCACGAAAGTTTAGAATGAGTCATAAAATAGCAGATGTTAAATTTGTAATTTGTTTTGTCATTTGTTACTGTATGTGTGTATCTTTTATATGTGTGTTTATTATTATTGTAGCTATAGTTCCTCCCAAATAATATTTTTGTAGCTAAAAGGAAACTGAATTAAAATTGGAATAAATTGTGGGAAGTATCCAAAAATGTTAAGGGTAAGCACTATGCTGCCATCCAAGAGGTTATTCCTCCCGAGCCTTGGGGAGACAATCATTTTTGGGCCCACTAGAAATTTTAGCGACCCGCAATAGTATCATATACAAAAAAGATACTAATTTATTATTATATACAGTCTAACCTGGAAAAGCGAGAGTTCAAGGGAGCACAATCTCATTCTCGCTTATAGAGGTTTCTCACTAACCCGAAACTCACTAATGCAGGTACATGGTTAGCGTTTCTGTCTTATAGAGATACGCACAAACACGCAATTAATACATGTTTAATTTTTATTTAGAAGCATTACAAAACTAATGTTTAAGAGAATATGGATATTATCAATTATCATGAAGGTTAGCCAAATGTTAATTGACACATTACGTATGTATTTCTCTTTTTTATTTTTGTGGTAAAATTCGCAAATAAAACTAACGAGTTTAGGGTAATTAATATAAGAGTTTATGAATTTAAACCTAGAATTTGTGAAAAGCTATTATTAAGTTTGTTGTATTACCTAAAACAAATACAAAGAACCAACTGATATTAAAAACTTATTAGTTTGTTAAAAGTGACAATGTATTAAGTTTATGTTATTAATAAAATATAAAAGGCTGCGGCGCGGGCTGCAGCGCTGGGCTGACTCGCGCCGCGCGGCCCCCTTCCAGCCTCGGTCTGCATTCGGCCCCTGTCGCTGCGCCAGCTGCGCGCCCCGCGGCTGTCGCCCTGAACTTTATCCACCTGACTGCTCTCCGCCTCTTTGCCGTTGATACACATACTTTCTTCCTTAGAAATTTCTGCCGCTTGACAAATTTGTTTCGCTTTCGATAACGTCAAATCGTCTGTACGAAGTAAAGGATCCCTGACCGTGTTATTCACTATTCCGCAAACCAAATTTTATCTCCAGCAGGCTCTCGTGAAAATCACCGAAGTCGCATTACCGACTCAGTACTCGCAAAGCAGTCACATATTGGTCGATATTTTCTCCATTCTCTTGATTTCGCGAGAAGAATTTGAACCTTGTTACTGTTATATTCGGTTTAGTACCAAAATAACTATCGAACTTCTTTATCAATTGATGTCGTCCTCGCTTCCCTCTTCACCCTCTATCCTGCCGGGCCGATGAGTTTAACTAACAAACTAGCCTGAATCTCTTTAGGCTCTTTGCTTACTGCATATGCTTTTAAGAACACTTCGAAAAGCCGCCGCCATTGACGCCACGCTTCGGCCCGCACGGCTGGCGCGCCTTCGAGTGATAATTCCGCTGGAGGACGCGCGTGTTCCATGATATTTATTATAAAATACACATAAAACTGCTTTATAATACACTTAATAAACGTATTATTGGTAGATTTGAGAATAAATTAGATTTTTGAAATCCCGCAGCTGCTACCATGTAGTAAAAACACACGCAATTTGGGTTCACACTAACTTTATTTATATACTCTCTACATTACAAAGATACATTAGAGCCCTATCTCATTAGGATGCCATGGCATCGACGCCGGCAGCGTCGCCAATTATAACACATTAAATTATATTAGAACGTACTTAACCTTACCTCACTTGGCGACGGCTTGGCGTCGACGCCATTTTGGCGGCGATGCCAGCTCGATCCCGCCCGCTTGCTTGTCTTGGCAGCGGCGCCACGCTGGTGCATGAACAAGCGATACTAATTTCGCCTGACATCGGCTTTAGCGACTAGTTTTGGCGTCTCATGGAAGCCAACGGTAGCCATAGAAGCACTGCCGGCGTCAATGCCATGGCATCCTAATGAGATAGGGCTCTTATACTACATACTTTACTTTACAGCATCCACGGTCATGCGGGGGACCGAGGTGTTCGACGTCCCAATGTCATAGTTAACCACGGCTACTTCCAGATTAAAATTATAAATTTTTGGTCGGATCTACGCGATTTACGCAGTTAACATACGCGATAAAATCCGTAAAAATTATTTTTATTTAAATTTGTTCGCGTAAACGTAAGAAATGATTGACTTTTGATACTTTTGAATCAATGGAAAAAAGTATTTAATTACTCATTTCCGGTATCTCCTCCTACTTCACCATGGATTGGCTGCGATCTGGTACTTTTTTATAATATCTTACATTGTGCACATAATAAAACAATAAAGTAGTATAATACGTGGTAGAGCCATGCTGCACCTTTATTAGAAGTATAGTTGTAGCAAAAAGGTTTCAGGCTTCGGAGCATTCCCCTTTACCGGACTTTCATACACGGCCCACTACAATGAGCCGGTCCTGTGAGCCTTGAATGTAAAGTTGCGTTGTTAGACTATATCGGTTTTATCCGCAATTGGTTAAATTGTAAGAAAAGGTTGGTTGTCTTTTTTATAGAAGAGGGGGCAAACGAGCATGCGGCTCACCTGATGTTAAGTGACTACCGCCGCCCATGATCAACCGCAACACCAGGGGAATATCAGGTGCGTTGCCGGCCCTTTAGAAAGGAGTAAGCTCTTTTCTTGAAGGTCCCCAGGTCGTATCGGTCCGGAAAAATCGCCGGTGGTAAACTATTCCACAGATAGGTTGTACGCGGAAGAAAACTCCTTTTGAAATGTACAGTGGTGGACCGCCAAGCATCCAGATGGTGTGAATGGTATCGAGACGTTTGCCGCGTAGTGCGTTCAAGAAATTTGGCGACTGGGATTAATCCAAACAATTCCTCAGAGCACTCCCCACGGTATATGCGAAAGAAAATGCAAAGGGATGCAACAGCTCTTCGCAGCGCCAGTGAACCGAGCTGATCGGAAAGCACGATCGGTCGTCGACGATTCGAGCCGCTATGCGCTGGATGCGGTCAAGTGGAAGGAGCTGGTACTGTGGAGCCCCAGCCCAGAGATGGGAACAGTATACCATGTGCGGCCGAACCTGCGCCTTGTAAAGTTGCAGGCGGTGTGCTGGCATGAGATACTGTCCCGCTCTGCTGAGCACACCAAGCTTTTTAGATGCCAATTTGGCCTTCTCTTCCAAGTGACCACGAAAATGCACGTCACTCGGTATGTCGACGCCGAGGATTCCGATACTGGCTGAGGCAACAAGGGGAGTGCCTTGAAACTGAGGAGATACGATAAGGGGTTCTTTTCAGCGGTTAACGCGCAAACTTGTGTCTTCTGGGGATTAAACTGGACTAGATTTAGTCGCCCCCAATCTGAGACTTTGTTCAGTAAAGAATCGACTTCAGACACAAGTTTGTCCCGGTACTCGGAGACGTTTTCCCGAGAAATATTGGCACGGCCGGCGGTGTAAAGAGCATCACCAGTGCTGCCATCTGCATAGCAATTAATGTTACGGGTTTGCAACATATCATTGATATGCAGAGAAACAGCGTTGGCGATAGCACGCAATCTTGTGGAACACCAGCATTAATAGGCTTGTAATCGGATCTTGCACCGTCTACAACGACTTTGATGCTCCGATCTGCAAGAAAGCTGGTGATCCAATCGCACAATTTCTCGGGAAGCCCATAGGAAGGGCGCTTCGAAAGAAGTGCTTTGTGCTCTATCTTAAGGTTGGCCACTATGATGTCGTTCCAGACGTAGCGACCTGCACCAAAGATGGATTAGGTTCTGCTGTGCCTGCAGCCGCTGCCTCTGCCGTTCGCTTAGGAGAGCGTACCAGGCTGGTGCAGCGTAGGTTATCCTCGGTCTGATATATATATTTTTAAATGTTGATTTTTGTTCTCAGTTGCAGCTTACATTCCAGGACAGGACGGATCATTGCCCGCGCACCTCTGGCATTGTGGACTAGGATGTCAACATGTGCAGTCATGTGCAGCATCCTATCTATCCGGCATCCAAGGTAGGTTGTGGCCCTCTGGTACGCTATCTCCTGGCCTCTCAGCGTCAGCGGCGGTGGAAGGTTTCTGAGGTCGCGGGTGAGCAGAGCGGTCGTCTTGCCAACATTGGCGGCCATTCTCCACTCATCCAGCCATGGCGGCAGATGGTCCAACAGTTGCTGCATTTTATCACAGTTGCTGCATTTTATCAGCGGCATCTTGGGGTCTTCTAGCCAATGTACAGTAGGCGCTATCATCCCCGTATAAAGCCAACTCTGCACCGTCTTCCCATTCGCGTAGGTTATCCTTCGGAGTAGGTATGTCATTGGAATAAGCCGCGTACAGGATCGGTGATAGACAGCGGCCGTGTGGTACTCTAGCTCTAATTGGTTTCGCTGCGACCTGAGCATCTTCGACACAGACGTAGCTTCTGTCGGCTAGAAACGTCGCCACTAGCCGCAGCATAGCAGGAGGGACGCACGTTTGTTGTTCTAATTTATAAAGTAAGTAAAAGTAATTTATAAAGATCGTTAATTGCACCTTTAATGTACTATTTAATATTTCCATTATTTCGCTATTTTATCACTAAAACAAAACTTTATTAACATTTCTATCATCTTATTCTAATACAAAATTTAGCCAAAACATTAACAAGTGGTTATTACATACATTTAAAAAAACTTTAAATATAAATGTAAATGTTATCTAAATAATATTTTCAAGAAACTGTTCGCACTTGCCCTTTTTGACTGCTAATTACATAAACAAGGCGACAAACTCATTCTCGCACAACCCTTTGGATCCCATAAGAGGCTCTTGCCATCCCTTTCTACCATTTATACCCATCCTTATCTCACATATACATCTTTTCACTCCAGCATTAAACTGTCCTTATCTAACACATAGGAATGCCTTATCCTATCCTATACCTAGCAATTCTTGTATATATATATATATATATATATATATATATATATATATATATATATATATATATATATATAATCGGAATCTCGGAAACGGCTCCAACGATTTTTATAAAATTTTGTGTCCAGGGAGTTTCGGGGGCAAAAAAATTGATCTAGCTAGGATTTATTTTTAGAAAATGTCCCTTTGTCCGTGTTTTCAGGCAATAAAAAAACTGCTACAATATAAGAAGGTAAATTTTGACAGATTGCTAACGATTGTAATAGCTCAGGTGGGATGTCGGTCGGCCGTGATATCGGAGTTCCATGGTTCGCGTCCTGCCTTTGGTCTGGCTGTTTTTCCTTTTTTTTTTCAAGTTTCCTTCTTTTGTGAGAAAATCTATTATTTGAAGCCCTTTTTTAGTATTTTTTTAAAAATACGAAAATTTTAATAAAACTAATTGCACTCACGATTTTTATTTAAATAACCAGTTCAGTTTTTTCTATTCTGTCAATAAGATCCAAAAATATTATTTATGTTTCATCAGTATGTAATTAATAAATGTAATTTCAAAAAAAACCGAGCAAAGCTCGGTCATCCCGGTACTAAGTAATTAAAACCATTATGTAAACAATCAAAAGTGCTTAAAGCATTTTTAATTTTTTTTTATATCGTATTACATAGCCGATTACTATGTAATGCATGGCTCTAAATTAATACAATAACCTTTCTTTACTCCTTTTTGTTCAGAAATTAGCATTATTTGGCAATGTAAACAACCTCAGTACAATCGTTACAACCTAATAAAAGTCTGCTTCTTAACATAAGTTTACCGTATGGATGGCCGCATGGGATAATTCCCATAGATTCCACGCCTATCAGACGGGTTGGCAAATATTTTTTTTATTTTTAGTTGTTATTAGAAAGTCGCTAGTGTCTATATCCCAGTTTGTTTCCCTCAGTCGCCTCTTACGACATTTACGGGACGATACGTGCTAGTGGATATTCATATACCGTCATCAGACAATCAAAAGTTGATTATCTTTGGGGTAATTTATCGTTTGCAGCTCTTACCTTAACCAGTAGGCAACTATAGAATAGTTGAACTGAAAATATAAAATATTGAGCAACAAAAGAACTACAGCATTTATTTGATATACATTTTAGAACAGGCGTTGAAACAATACATTTTAAAAATTACCACGTAAAATATCATTTTACATCTTGTTTGTCATAGTATAATTGAAGAATATAGAAATAATTATTGTTCAATACGGAGCATAAATATTTTTAAAGTCATTTTTTTTACATGTACAAGTTTTTGATATCATACTATGTCTATTAGACGATTATAATGTGGGTGTCTTCAGTACACGAGTGAAAAGGCTTTTATTAAATAAGTCAGAGCGCTTTACTATCTTCGACTGTATCACTTCTTGCCATTCGTGACTAAGCATGTTGCATGCTACAAAAGCTTAATATAAAGTAACGAGCTCGAAACTAAGAAACCCTTTGCATAATTTTGAATGTTTGCTTAAAATTAACAGCCAACTGTTCCGGTCTAAAAGGTGATGTAATTTTTTCCCGATCAAGTATTCAAAATGAATACTTTTCTCAGTTTTAAATGAATGTAAGTACTGAAAAAAATTGCTACACGATCTTGGCATGTAACTTTAAAAGTTGGTGAATTCAATAAGGATTCCCAAATGGTATAACACTTACAAGATTACTCAAGGCTTTGCTCAAGACTTTTAAAAAGGATTCTTAAAAAGGACCGGATAATCAGACGAGCGAATCTACCATTATTTACAAATTCAGCTGCTTCAGGTAGCTCAGCTATATTTTTAATCAGTTTTGAATAAATTTTTTCTTTAAAGGTTCCCCTCCCCAGTAAAAAAAAATCAAATGTGTACAAATCAGGTGAACGGGCTGGCCGCGAGATTATATCCATCTGTTTGGGTATTCTTCATCGTGATATTCTCTCA